AGGTGGCTCAGTGGTAGAGCGCTTGCCTTGCATGCATGAGGCCCTGGGTTCGATTCCTCAGCACCACATAAGCAAAAAGAAAAAAGCCGGAAGTGGCGCAGTGGCTCAAGTGGTGGAATGCTAGCCTTGAGCTGAAGAGCTGAGGGACAGCGCCCAGGCCCAGAGTTCAGGCCCCACGACCAGACCCAAAAAAAAAAAAATATATATATATATATATACACTCACACATATATACACACACACACACACACACACACATATGAATAAATAGTCCTCAAAGTGTTATCCAAGTTATTAGTTGTTGGGATGTAGGTGCTCTTGTTGTATTTTCTGAAATTTTTGTAATTGAAGCTATTACTTTTAGATACACTATGAAAAACCACTATGTCACTGGGCACTATTGAAAATGCACTATAAAACTTGTGGGTGGGGGTTGGGAGGGAAAACTGGGAGAGAGCAAGGGAAGGGGTGACAATGTCCAAAAAGAAATGTACTCTTTACCTGACTTCAGTAACCGTAACCCACCACCATTCTAACAACAATAAAAAATTATTTTTTTTAAAGAAAAGGCACTATGGAAAACTAATTAAAGCTTTGTTGCTGTGATTTGCTTTACATTTGTAGACCAGCTTCTTTTATCCTTAGCTAGCTATTCTGTGGGTGGGTAATTTTAGAAACAGAGAAAGAAAAATCCTAGTGACCTTATTAAAGACTCTAGGTTAATATTTGCCTTGTTCTTTGAGTAATTGAGCCTTAGATACATACGGTATTGTCTTTTCTATTCTTGCTCAAGCTAGCTAGGCTTCTTTGGTATCATGACTTCCTAATAAAGGACAGACAACCTGACTGTTGGCATCCTACGCAAAGTTTTATTTTTATAGTTTCTGGGAGCTGCTGGGTTTTGTGTCAATTGCAATGAATAGAGAACAGTAAATAGCTATCATAATTACTAGTGCTGGAAAGAACTTGAGAAAAAGTTAAGTTTGAATGGAGCGAGCCCCACTTGTGTCATTCCTGGGCATTGTGTAGCAGGCATACCATGTTCAGTATACATACACACCATACTTGGAACAGGTTCTCATTGAAGGTCTGGAGAATTTTGACAAGAACTCAAGGTGGCTTGGATCACCCGTTTTGGTAGCAAATGTGAGATTCCCAAAGAGTTTCAGACTTCTAATTTTCATCATTTTCATCTTACACTTTGGAAATTGGGCTCCTACATTTGAATGGAAGTGATATATACAGAATTTATAATGTTTTAGAGTTTTGCACAGTTTTTGTTTTTGTTTTTGTCAGTACTGGAGATTGAACAAGTACAGAGCCTTGCCCTGTCACTATTTTCATTTAAGGTTTGTGCTTTACCATTTCAGCCATATCACTTCTGTCTTTTTTTGCTGGTAAATTGGAGATGAGTCTCATAGCCTTTTCTGCCCCTGCTGGCTTTGAATTCCCATGATCTCAGTGCCCTGAGTAGCTAGGGCTACAAGCACCATTACTCTGTATTCCCCACCTAACTTTATTTTCATATATTTACTTAATGAGGAAACTGAGTTGTCACAGTATTTCCCTGGTTCTGGATTCCACTGGGTGTGTTTGCTTTTCTTTTTTGTGTGATACTTGCTCAGTTTTTTTTTTTTTTTTTGGTCCGGTCGTGGGGCCTGAACTCTGGGCCTGGGAGCTGTCTCTCAGCTCTTCAGCTCAAGGCTAGTGCTCTACCACTTGAGCCACAGCGCAACTTCCGGCTTTTTTTTTTTTTGCTTATGTGGTGCTGAGGAATCGAACCCAAGGCCTCATGCATGCAAGGCAAGCGCTCTACCACTGAGCCACCTTCCCAGCCCATCAGTTTTTTTTTGTTTGTTTGTTTTTGCACATAGTGCTCCACCTCTTGAGCCACATGTCCATTCTCTCCTTTTTACTGATTAATTGGAGATACAATTTCTAGGACTTTTCTGCCCCAAGTGGTTCTCACTTCAGTCCTCAAATCTTAGTGGCTTGAGCCACCAGTTGGCTGGAATTATAGTTGCAATAGTGTTTAACATGTTTCTGGGTGTTAGGGACTTGTTGATTAGGTTCAGGTTCAATTTTTGGCAAGAAGAGTTACTTTAAAAATAGTGTAATATGTTGGTGTAATATGTAATCTGTTGGTAATATGTTCGCTCACACCTATAATCCTAACTACTTAGGAGGCTTAGATCTGAGAATCACACTTGAAAGCCAAGGCAGGAAAACCAGTGAGATTCTTACCTCCATTTAGCCAGCAGAAAAAGTGGGCTGCAGCTCAACTGTTAAAGAACCAGTTGAAGGGCTGGGAAGGTGGCTCAGTGGTAGAGCGCTTGCCTTGCATGCCTGAGGCCCTGGGTTCGATTCCTCAGCACCACATAAGCAGAAAAAAAAGCCGGAAGTTGCGCTGTGGCTCAAGTGGTGGAATGCTAGCCTTGAGCTGAAGAGCTGAGGGACAGCGCCCATGCCCAGAGTTCAGGCCCCACGACCAGACCCCACTCCCCCCCCCCCAAAAAAAAAAGAACCAGTTGAAAAAGCCAAGTGAGATCATGAGGCCCTGAATTCCAAGCCCTAGTACTGGCATGCATGTGTGCATGCACATACACACACACAGAGTAGTTTAGTGCATGTCCTATTGCATCAAGCTCAGTTAGTCCCACATTTTTTTTGTGTGCTAGTCCTGAGCTTAAACTCAGGGCCTGCACAGTCCTTGAACATTTGTGCTCAAGGCTAGCACTCTACCACTTGAGCCACAGCTCCACTTCTGTCTTATTGGTGTTTAATTGGAGAGTCTTGCAGACTTTCCTGCCCTGTCTGGCTTCAAACCGTTATCCTTGGATCATAGCCTCTCGAGTAGCTAGGATTACAGGCATAAGCCACCAATGCTAGGCTGTCCCACTATTAATACACTGTTTTCAACTTTCCAACACCAAAATTTTTAAGTGAAATAATTGATATTATTGTAGATTCACTTGAAGTTGTAGGAAACATAAAGAGATGCCCAGTAATCAACTTTCATTTAAACTCCCAGTGGTAACAGGGTTCAAAATTATCATAATTCAACTAGGATAATAACCTTGTCTTCCTTAACTAATTTTACTCCAGATTCCCCCAGGTTTACTAGTGTATGTATAATTTATCATGGTATAGTTTTTGAGATTGCTTAGATTGTATCTGTGATGATCATAATGTTGAATATTCAACACAGAGGTCCTTCCTATTGTCCACATCATATCAGTAATTTACTCTTTTTTTGTTTCTGTGTAGTATTCCGTGGCACGTATGTACCAGAGTTTAACTATTCACCTCTTGAAAGATCTGGGTTGATTATACTTAGACCCTTTAAAAATCAGGCTATTGCTGGGCACCGGTGGCTCATGCCTGTAATCCTAGATACTCAAGAAACTGAGATCTGAGGATTGTGAGTCAAAGCTAGCCTGGGTAGGAAAAATCCATGAAACTCTTATGTCCTTAATTGCACCAAAAAACCAGAAGTGTAGCTATGGCTCAAGCGGTAGAGAGTTAGTCTTGAGCAAAGAAGCTCAAATATAATGCCCAGGCCCTGAATTCAAGCCCCAGGACTGGCACGTGTGCGCGCATGCACACACACACACACACACCACACAATTGTGAAAGTTGATGCACAAGTTTTAGTGTACACATAAGTTTTTTTTTGCTTTTTTGTTTTCTTTTTTTTTCCAGTCATGAGACTTGAACTCTGGGCCTGGGCACTATCCCTCAGCTCTTCAGCGCAAGGCTAGCACTCTACCACTTGAGCCACAGTGCCACTTCCGGCTTTTTTTTTCCTTTTTCTTATGTGGTGCAGAGGAATCGAACCCAGAGCCTCATGCATGCAAGGCAAGGCAAGTGCTAGATCTACCACTGAGCCACCTTCCCAGCCCTTCTGAGTGGTTTATTGGAGATAAGAGTCTCTTGGACTGCCAGGCTGGCTTTGAACCCTGATCCTCAGATCTCAGCCTCCTGAATAGCTAGGATTACAGGCGTGAGCCACCAATGCCTGGCTGCACATAAGTTTTTATAAGAAACTGTCAACTTGTTTTCTACAGTGACTATACCATTTTACATTCCTCTAGCAATGTCTGAGGAATCCAGTTTTTTGCATTCTTGCCAGCATTTGGTATTGTCATTTTGTATGTGTGAAGGGGAGAGCATGTGTGTGTATATGTGTGTGTGTGTGTGTGTGTGTGCACGTGCGCGTGTGTGCGCGTGTGCGCACATGCACTGGTGATGTGATTTGAACTCAGAGCCTCATGTTCTCATTTGGCTTTTCGCTCATGCAGGAACTCTACCACTTGAGCCACAGCTCCACTTCTGGCTTTGTTTGCTTGTTTATTGGAGAGAAGAGTCTCACAGACTTTTCTTCCCAGGCTGGTTTTGAACTGCAATCCTCTTTAGTAGTTAGGATTACAGGCCTGGCTTGATTTTATGTTTCTATATCTTTTTTTCCTTAATATATTTTTTAATTTTAAAGATACTGTACAGGGGGTTACAGTTACATGAGCAAAGTATTGAGTCCATTTCCTATCATGCATTGTTACACCCTCCTTTGTTTTTCCCCTACCATACCTTCCCTCCTCATCTTGTTTCTCTTTTTTTTGGGGGGGGGGTCTGGTCGTGGGCCTGAACTCTGGGCCTGGGCGCTGTCCCTCAGCTCTACAGCTCAAGGCTAGCGCTCTACCACTTGAGCCACAGCGCCACTTCCGGCTTTTTTTTTCTGCTTATGTGGTGTTGAGGAATCAAACCCAGGGCCTCATGCATGCAAGGCAAGCGCTCTACCACTGAGCCACCTTCCCAGCCCATCTTTTTTCTATATGTTATGCTGAAAAATATTATTCTTAAGAATTACTGGTTTCGTAGATAAGTATTGTAGGGCTAATCTTTGGTTTTACAGCCAAATACTGTAAATTCTATATGAGCAGTGATAAGATTTGCTCATTTAGAAGCTTAAAACACACACAAACTATGTCCTTACCTGTTTTAACTGTAGATTATATTTACTTAAATAGGTATAGCCCACACTTGATGGAGAAAATTCTCCAAATGGCTGAAGGTATTGATATTGGGGAGATGCCTTCATATGACCTGATGCTGCCCAAACCTTCCAAAGGCCAAAAACGCCACCTCTCAACATACGATGGTGAGTATACTTGTTTGGGGAAGCTGGGATTTTAAAGGTTTCTTTAAAAACAAATCTATGCACATGTGGTTTTAAATTACATTGGTCACATTGGTTCTTGTACAGAGATAAAAGATTTTTTAATGTAGTGAAGTCTGATTTTTTTTGAGGATGCTAACTAGAACTGAAAGCTAAGAATACTGAAGACATGTTTTAGTGCTGTCCTTGAAGTGTATGTCATGGGACTTCCCTCTAAGTAGAACAACCTTATACTGGGATCAATTGAGCATCTAAGTAACTAAATCCTTTTGGATGGACCTGAAATGGACCAGTTTCTACTGAGCAGTCTTAGGGCAAGGGACTGCCAGTGTCTAGTATTGCCTTAACAGAGTTCTTCCATAGATTTAAATGGGCATTTGTATTTAGCTGTCTGTTCTAGAAATAAAATAAAGCAACTAGCCTGTTGTACAGAATAGCACAGTATTAAGATTTTCATTGAAAAACCTCTGGAATCTTTTGCTAACTTTTTTCTTTGATTTTTTTAAAGTCATAATTGCATAAAATAACATCACAAAGTCACTCATCTCTGATACCAAATAGAAAGGTTTTGTAAATGCCTCTGGTCATCATCTCTGTTACATTAGAACCATCTGTTCCATTTGTAACCCTTCAGTGAGTAGTAAGAGATCGTACTAGAACATCCTTTCAGTACACTTTATGTTCCAGAACAGGTGACGCTATGTTGCACCTATGGTTTAGCTCATTTGATGCAAAAGAACCTTTCAGTCATGCATGGTAATGACCTCCCACTCTTGTTCCAGTGATCTGTTTCCTATCAAGAGTTTGCCCTTAGCAGGGTGCTGGTGGCTCACTCCTGTAATCCTAGCTACTCGGGAGGCTTAAATCTGAGGATTGTGGTTCAAAGCCAGCCCACACAGGAAAACCCATGAGACTCTTTATCTCCAATTAAGCACCAAAAAATTCAGAAGTGGTTCTATGACTCAAGTGGCAGAGCACCAATCTTGAGCAAAAGAAGCTCAGGGGCAAAGCCCAGGGCCTGAGTTCAAGCCCCAGGAGTGGCACCAAAAAATTAGTCTTACCTTACACGTAGAAGGTCAGGGAATACCCCCTCCCTATGGTAAAATATTACATTGATATGAGTCCCTTCACCCAAATGCCTTTGAAGTTTTCATGATGGGGCATTTCTTGTACCAACAATACATCTTGCAAGTAATATGATTGGTACCATTTTCCTGTTTGGGTCTTCTGAAATGATCCCCATTTTAATGAATTGTAAATTTCACTCATTCTATAGGTCAAAATCCTCCTAAAAAGCAAGCTGGTTCCAAATTCCATGCGAGACCTCGTTTTGAGCCTGTACATTTTGTAGCTAGTAGTTCAAAAGATGAAAGACAGGAAGATCCTTATGGCCCTCAAACCAAAGAGGCAATCGAACAAACACATTTTTCCAGCATGCCACGAAACATCTACCAAGATTATACTCAAGACTCTTTCAGTATACAAGATGGGAATTCTCAGTATTGTGATTCGTCAGGATTTATTTTCACAAAAGACCAGCCTGTCACAACCAACATGTATTTTGAGAGTGGGAATCCTCCCCCAAGCAGCACCTCCCAGCAGGCCAACTCTCAGCCAGCACCCGAGCCAGCCTCATCCCAAACATACCCGGAGTCAGTGGTAGCCGAGAAGCAGTATTTTATTGAAAAGCTAACAGCAACTATTTGGAAGAACCTTTCTAATCCAGAGATGACTGCTGGCTCTGATAAGATTAATTACACATACATGCTAACTCGTTGTATCCAGGCTTGTAAGACAAACCCTGAGTATATATATGCTCCTTTAAAAGAAATCCCTCCTGCTGACATCCCCAAAAATAAAAAACTACTCACAGACGGCTATGCTTGTGAAGTGAGATGCCAGAATATCTACTTAACTACAGGTTACGCTGGCAGCAAGAATGGGTCCAGAGATCGTGCTACTGAGCTAGCTGTAAAACTCTTGCAGAAATGTATTGAGGTTAGAGTTGTCCGGCGGAAATTTAAGCACACAATTGGAGAGGACCTGGTAGTGTGTCAGATTGGCGTGCTTTCCTATGACTTTCCTCCAGCTCTAAAACCCCCGGAAGACGTGGTAGTGCTGGGGAAAGATGCTTCCGGCCAACCCATCTTTAACTCTTCCGCCAAACACTGGACCAATTTTGTCATTACCGAAAATGCAAACGATGCAATTGGCATCCTTAACAATTCTGCCTCATTCAACAAAATGTCTGTCGAGTACAAATATGAAATGATGCCAAATCGTACATGGCGTTGTCGAGTGTTTTTGCAGGATCACTGCTTAGCTGAGGGTTATGGAACCAAGAAAACAAGTAAACATGCAGCTGCTGATGAGGCTCTGAAAATTCTCCAGAAAACCCAACCCACATACCCATCTGTCAAAAGTTCACAGTGCCATTCAGGCTCTTCACCCAGAGGATCTGGAAAAAAGAAGGATATAAAGGATCTTGTTGTGTACGAGAACTCCTCGAATCCCGTGTGCACACTGAATGATACAGCTCAGTTCAACCGCATGACGATTGAGTACGTGTATGAAAGGATGACAGGCCTCCGCTGGAAATGCAAAGTGATTCTGGAAAGTGAAGTCATTGCAGAAGCCGTTGGGGTGAAGAAAAGTGTCAAATACGAAGCTGCTGGAGAAGCTGTGAAAACCCTCAAGAAAACCCAGCCAACTGTCATCAACAACCTGAAGAAAGGAACTGTGGAAGATGTGATTTCTAGAAATGAGATTCAGGGCCGCTCTGCAGAAGAGGCTTACAAACAACAAATCCGAGAAGACAACATAGGAAATCAGCTGCTGAGAAAGATGGGTTGGACTGGTGGTGGGTTAGGTAAATCTGGCGAAGGCATACGGGAGCCTATCTCAGTCAAAGAGCAGCATAAGCGGGAAGGGCTAGGTCTTGATGTAGAGAGAGTCAATAAAATTGCCAAGAGAGATATCGAACAGATCATCCGCAACTATGCCCGCTCCGAGAGCCACACAGATTTGACATTCTCCACTGAATTGACCAATGATGAACGGAAGCAGATACATCAGATTGCTCAGAAGTATGGCCTGAAGAGTAAGTCTCATGGGGTGGGCCATGATAGGTACCTGGTGGTAGGAAGAAAAAGGCGGAAGGAAGATCTCCTAGATCAGCTCAAACAGGAAGGCCAAGTGGGGCATTACGAGCTTGTTATGCCTCAAGCAAATTGAAGAGCATACTATATTTTATTTTCTTAATGCCTAATGAGGCAGCTCTGTGGTCAAAAGAAAATGCTACATGTTCTGGTTACAGAGTACTAGTCATTCTTAAGATGTTTCGCCTTGTTCATTTCATGTAGAGCTTTATTAGGTACTGGAATCTGAAGAAATCCATCTTGTACTAGCTTCATCCTGCAGATAATATTGTGCAGTAACTGTGTGTGTCTCTTGATAATGCTATGCCCCTTGGAGTTTAAGTAGTTTGCTCAAGCAAGAATACATCCAAATGGAATTCCACACTGAGAAAGAAATTCACCTTTTAAAGGGCATAGCACAGCAATCTGCAACAATATATATGTCAAGTCAATATTGACTCCAGTTAAATGGCAGTTTTAATTTCCAGACTTCTGGAAAAATGTCAGTTCATTTTTGTATGATCTCTTTTCATCTTTGTGTGAAGCCAGTTATAGAATGTTTAACAGTAAATTGTGCTGTACGTGTAAATGTCAGCTAAACGATGTAAAACTTTCTTAAAAGTACTTTGTTCATTTATTTATAACTTCAAGTCATGTGATTTTCAGAGTATTGAAAGTAATTCACTGTACCTTGTGATCTATAAGTTTTAACAAAATCCTAGTCTTCATGCTGAGAGAGCACTACTTGAGAGAGCAGTTGAAAAGTTTCAAAAACTTTTCATTCAATGGAAGGAAGGAAGTTTGAACTGTTTGTTCTTGGTGCCTTGCAGAGAGACTCACAGCAACTCTCCATTGTAGCTTTGCCATGGTTTGGATGTGCAGCACATCCCAGGCAACCACAGCTGTGGCAGAGCTTGATAAAAGACTGAAGATACATTGGTGCTTTGATGCAAAGGTCAGTTGGCTGGTCCCTCTCTCTCGGGAAAAAAAAAAAAAAGCTTATTAAACCCCCAAAGCCAACTTTGTAACATATTTAAAACTGCTATTTTCGCTTATTTCTGGAATGTAAAAAAAAATGTATAAAAAGAATTAGTGTATGCTTCCTGAATAAACCAAGGAGCCAGAGTTGATCAAAATAGCGGTGTGCTTATTTCTGGGCAGCAGCCTAGTCACGACACTTTGGGTCTTAGATTTGTGCAGAAGGGAAGTGGTGTTTGCAGAAAATATGTCAGTTGTGAAGCGCATGTGGATGGATGTAACAGTTTAGCAGATGGGAACAGAAATCAGTCACCCACTGTGCTTTTTCCTATGCACTAACATTCTAGCTTCAGTGAGATCTTAGGCTAGTCCCTTGTATGTGATTTGGGAGTTACATATCAGATAAATCAAGCACAGCTCCACTTTTCTAAAACAACACAGATGCTATTATTGTTATTTAAGGACCTCGAGTGAGATGATTTTTGAGATGGATCAGGTTGTTTGCAGTGTCTTAAAATGTTCAGCAGGCATAAGAAAGAGTAGTTTCCTTTCCCCCAATGTTTATATTTTACACTGAGTTATAGTTAAATGATTGAATAGAGATTAGCTTTTTCATCCAAATCTCTCTTAACTCATAAGGACCAGTTGTCACTAACAGTGTTTGATACTTGCTTTCTAGTATCTTCCTTTCTGTGGTGTGTGTCCTTTTAAGAAATGATGTATGCATATTATTTTGGCACTTGGTGTATTAGGAATGGCTAAAGGAACTCATCTTGGGAAGCGTTAGAAAAACTTGGGATTTTTCTTGAATAAGTGACTTTGGAGGATTATAAGGTATGAAAACAACTTTTAGCGGGACGCTAGTGGCGCATGCCTGTAATCCTAGCTCCTTAGTAAGCTCAGATTTGATGATTGATTTGAAGCAAGCCCAGGCAGCAAAGTCTGTAAGACTCTTATCTCCAACAAACTACTCAGAAAAAGCCAGAAGTGGCGCCTGTGGCACAAGTGGTCGAGCGCCAGCCTTGAAAACAGAGACTTAGAGACAGCGCCCAGGCCTTGAGTTCAAGTCCCTGGTTTGGAAAAAAGAAAAAGTGACTTTTCACATTTCCTCTTCCCAAAATGATTTTTTGGAGGAAAAAGAGAAATGTTACATTTAAATTGGATTTTAGATGAGCTTTAGAAAACAACTTATTTACTAAAAGGCTCAAACTGGATCAAGCGTATATGAATTTGGTTCCTGGTTTTGAAGGGCCAGATTTTTAAACTTTGTGGATCAGGTTCCGTACTGATGCAGAATTAGATCAAAGTCACTTAACTCTGCTTAAAAAATCTTGGCTTTTTCCTAGCTAATTAGAGATACGAATCTCACAGACTTTGCTGCCCAGGCTGACTTTGAACTGCCATCCTCAGGTCTTAGCCTCCTGAGTAGCTAGGATTAAAGACAGGAGCCACCAGCACCTAGTGTGACAGTAAAATAAAAGTACATACAGATCTATGTAACTCAATGCTACTTATATATACTATATATACTACATATAGATCTAATATATACACTATACACATATATGTATATATATACTGTACATAGTGTATATGTGTATGTATATATAGAGAGTCTCACAGATCTTCTGTAAGGATTTTTCCTTCCATTTTGCAAAGTGAATGGAAATAGGAATTTGTTTGTTTCTGTGTGTGTGTGGTTAAGATGCATTCATTTTTCTGTGTGACCCTCACAACTCAAGATGGGTCCTAAATAAAGGAGTCATGATTAGAACTTCAGTTCCACAGCATGTATCCTTTTCCACATCAGCAGGTACAGAACTGAAGGAACCTTGCAAAACTTATTTAACTTTCTTGTAATGATCACATACAGGCATCCTGTGCTGGTTAAATATTAGAAAGAAGGCAATTAGTATTAAATGCTCAAATGAATGGTAAATGGTGCATTTGCTTATAACTTGAAATGTCAGCTTGTTGATTCTGTTCTAAGGTTTTAAAAGGATTAGTCCCTTAAAGAGATTGGGAATGGTGTACAAAATAAAATGTTACCAGGCATGCTTTTTCCCAAGTCTCGTCTTATATTTTCCAAGTCTGATTAACATTGTCGCTGTTTCAGGTATGTAGCCACAGTAGGATGAGAAAGTTCATTCACCAAATGAAAATTAATTTAATGGGGTTCTATTTTGGAGCAGAAATGGACTTGAGAGGAAATACTAAGCATGTTTAAGAAGTGGCTCCTAGCCCAGGCACCAGTAGCCCATGCATGTAATCCTAGCTACACAGGAGGCTGAGACCTGAGGATTGCAGTTCAAAGCTAGCCCAGGCAGGAAAGTCCATGAGACTCTTATCCAATTAACCACCAGAAACACAGAAGTGGCTTTATGGCTGGAAATGGTAGAGTGCTTGAGTAAAAGAGCTCAGGGACAGTGCCCAGACCCTGAGTTCAAACTCCATGGCAGACAAAAAATACACAAGGCTCTAAAGTGAAATGATCCAGTATTGTGTAGTGCAGATTGGACTCTCTTAAGTACCAGTTTTAAAGGGTGAGTGGGTATGTGAATCCTAAGGACTTAATTTCATTTAGCCACCCCCCCCAAACTATTTTTGTGATTGTTTTCATAGTCCTTTTTAAAAAGCCAGGCACTGGTGGTTCACGCCTATAATCCTAGCTACTCAGGAGGCTGAGATCTGAAGATCCCAGTTCAAAGCCAGTCCAGGCAGAAAAGCCTGTGAGACTCTTATCTCCAATAAACCACCAGAAACCAGAAGGGGTGCTGTGGCTCAAGCAGTAGAGTTTTCGCCTTGAGCTGAAGAGCGTAAGAACAGTGCCCAAGCCCAGAGTTCAAGCCCCACAACCAACAAAAAAATAGTGAAGGAAGATCCTTCAAGGATTTTTGTTGGTAGTGTCAATCCTGGGGCTTAAATTCAGGGTTTGAGCATTGTCCCTGAGCTTTTTGTGCTCAAGACTAGCACTGTACCACTTGAACCACAGCTCCACTTCTGGCTTTTTGCTGGTTAATTGAAGCCATGATCTTCAGATCTCAGGTTCCTCAGTAGCTAAAATTTTAGGCATGAGCCACTAGCACCTAGCTTGTAATTTTGAAAGGTCAATTTGCTTACAAGGGAACCAGAATATGTAACAATTACCTCTAAGTACATTTCCATTGGCTAAATCTCATTTCCAGGGCCTAAATCTCAGGACCTTTGTCTCTAGCTTGGCTTTCTTTCTCATAGCTAGTGCTTTACTGAAGCCAGGCCACCAGCCCACCTTTTCCCCCTTATTAACACATATTAATTGTGCAAAGGGGTTGGCATTGATAGTTCAATATATGCATGCAATATACTTGATCAAATTAATACCCTGAACTTTCTCATCCTCTCCCCTTAAAACAATTATCAAGTTTCATCATTTTATTTTCATATATGCTCAAGAAGTACCTTGATCAGTTAGTCAACCCCACTCTCACTACCCTCCCCCCTCCTGCTGACTTCCCATAAACAGTTCCCCCAAATTATACTTGTCATTTTTGGGGGGGGGTCCGGTCGTGGGGCCTGAACTCTGGGCCTGGGCACTGTCCCTCAGCTCTTCAGCTCAAGGCTAGCATTCTACCACTTGAACCACAGCGCCACTTCCAGCTTTTTTCTTTTTGCTTATGTGGTGCTGGGGAATCGAACCCAGGGCCTCATGCATGCAAGGCAACCGCTCTACCACTGAGCCACCTTCCCAGCCCATACTTGTCATTTTTTTAAGGTCATATATGAGAGAACATACAACATACTACCAAACCTTTCACAAGAGTTAAAATGCCATTTTCAATAATTTGATAGTTTTTAAACTAAAAAAATTTTACATAGAATGTCATAATCTGCAATTTTTTTTTTGAAGGTCGCGGGGCTTGAACTCTGGGCCTGACGCTGTCCCTCAGCTCTTCAGCTAAGGATAGCACTCTACCCAATTTTGGTCTTTGAGGACACTGTTTTATTGTTCTTTTATAATTTCATTCCCTTGACTGGCCATAATGTATACTACTTCAGTACACTACTTGTTTGATAATTTTATATTCTGTTAAGAGACCTGTGTGTATGTGCCTGTCCTGGAGCTTAAACTCAGGGCCTACGCACTGTCCCTGAGCTTTTGTGCTCAAGGCTAGTGTTCTACTACTTGAGCCAAAGCTCTACTTCTGGATTTTTGGTGCTTAATTGGAGATAGTCTCATGAACTTGCCTGCTTGGGTGGCTTTGAACTGCAACCCTCAGATCTCAACCTCTTGAATGGTTAGGATTATGGCAAGAGCCACTAGGCCACAGGCACCCAGCTTCTGTAAAGATTTTTAAAAAGCAGTTAACACATAATTGAAAAGAAAAATGGTTCTTTCCAACATTATCATCATTTTCTCTTCCTGGTGATATTATTTTTTTGCATTTAAAGGGGAGAAGCAAGTAGATAGGAGATTCCTCAAAAAAAATGGTCCTAAAAGTTCAGACTGAGCTAAAATATAGTTATACCTCAAGGACAAAACTTTAAGGTTATTTTATTTACAACTTTTGAAAAATGTACATTTTTTTACATGGGTTACTTGTGCAAAGCTAAAGAGCAATGAATGCATAAAAAGCAATTAGACAAAACACTTAAGTTTTGTCCAGTATTGTGTATCTAAAAGTGTAAATATCCAAAGAAAGATTGCAGACATTGATTTAAAAAGTTTCTCAGCATTGAAAGGGAATAAACTAAAGCATGCAGCAGTAACTCAGGATTTGAGTTGAAAATAGTTTGTCACAAATACACTCCCTTCCTTGTTAACTAAAAATAAACAAAAACTAAACGTGGAGGATTTTAAGTTTATAACACTGTTCCTGTAGGATTAAAGAATTTTCCACTTTCTGTAACTCGAAAACTTAATGACTGCGTCCATTCCTCTGCTCCCATACTTCTTTCAAAAGAAAAAAAATGTAAACCCTCTGTACATCATCTTTATAATAAAAATTTTTAAAGAAATTTAAAAAAATATCAGAAGACTCTTCTTGCAAATAGATGTTATTGTATCACTTTGCTCCTTAGCCAGGTCCTTGAGCATTAGCCTTCCACCAGTAAATGCCATTAGATATTAATATCATAGATTTTTAGTTTTCATTTTCCTTTCAAAACATGTTTTATACGATTTATTTCCATTTCCTATAGGCCATATTCTAAACACATTCACTTCTAAATGTTAACAGGGAAGGGACTAAGCCAGGATGAAACACTTGAGTAACCATTTTCTTAAAAATGACATCCTGAGCCAGGCACCAGTGGCTCATGCCTGTAATCCTAACTACATCCTGAGCCAGGCACCAGTGGCTCATGCCTGTAATCCTAACTACATCCTGAGCCAGGCACCAGTGGCTCATGCCTGTAATCCTAACTACCCAGGAGGCTGAGATCTGAGAACTGTGGTTGAAAGCCAACCCAGACAGGAAAGTCCTGTTCAATTAACCACTAAAAAGCTGGAAATAGAGCTGTGGCTCAAGTGGCTAGAGCACTAGTCTTGAGCAAAAAAGCTCAGGGACAGCACTCAGGCCTGAGTTCAAGCCCCAATTCTGGCACACACACCCCCCCAAAAATATGTGTGTATATATATACATACATACATATATGTATATATATGTAAATCCTGGTCATTAGAATATGCATCAGAGCCACGAACATAACATTTTAAAAGTCTAGTGTAAAGCTCAGAAATAAAGGTAACTGCCCAGGAGGCTACAGACACACAACAGAAGAGTTAAGCACTAGTAATGTTTGCAAGTAACCCAGGTACAGTACATTGGATTTCATAGAGTGTCTCATGTCAACAAGGATAGTAGAGAGGCAGAAAAAGCTTGGCAAAGGAAGACAGAAACAGCACAACAGCTATTTGCTTTTGTAAAGTAAATGTAATGACATTAGCATTAATGTGATAAACACATTTTTTATGACCAGCCTCTTCTTTTACTCCACTTGTGGTCAACAGTCACGCCAACTTTGTTCTACTATTGCAGAAACACGTTTTTCATATTCCCTCTTATTCTCCTGGTACAGCTGGGCGGCCTGGCTGTTTGCCGGACTATTCGGATTGGGTTCATCCAACAGAGACTATAGAGAAAAAAATTTTAATGTCAGTGTATCAGTGCAAAAAAAATGGTCAAAACAAACAGCTATTTTACCAGTGATAATATATAATAGTTAAACTGCATGTCATTAGCAGCATACTATGTGACTTTAACTCCAGGTAGACTAGATACACACACACACACACATACACACACACGTTTTCAAGTGGCTTGGGTATTAACGGTCTACTTTTATCTATAAAATAATCTTTGGCTCAACAAGTTAGGACTTTCCAAAACAAAAGGTCACAGTCACAATAAGGAAAAATTCACCTGGATGGATGTTAAAATAGAAGACACATCATAAGTCGGACTCCAGCGGTTTTGCAGTATATCCAAACATATGCTACCATCAGCATAAACTAAAAGCACAGAAGTAGGTATGTTAAACGTAAGACTTCTAAGAATATAGTTAAGACAAAAATAACACTTTGCTTTCAAAATTTAAAGAAAATATTACTAGTTCACTGTGTTGCCACTGCTCTAGTGGATCCGTGTGATAAGATGATATCCAAAGTGATTGGTATAAAACTAGAAAATATACTCATTCTGAAATGAGCCCTACTTTGCAGGAAAGCCTACTTCTCTTCTAATAGGGTCCCTTATCCATAGAATTATGGCAAGTTCATTCCACAAAATTTGTAAACTATGTCTCCTATCTGAAATAATAAAAGCACAGCATTCACCAGGTTTCATTCTTGGCATAAATATATAAAATATCTGATACTATAAACTATTTATAAAAGCAAGCCATTTTGAGCTTACTACTAGAAAAAAAGGCATGTTAGAATCCTGTAGACCTTACTCATTATCCTGCCCATGTAATTGTAACCCCTCTGTACAGTATTTTCACAATAATAAAAAAAAAAGAATCCTGTAGACCTGTAGCACTTTCCTAACATATATGCCTGGCCCTCAATAGAAGCTGATTCTTTCATAGGTGTGGAATGAGGCCAGAGAATTTTCTTTTTAAAAATTTTCCATGGCAAGTCTGATATACACAACTGTTTTTTTAAATACTAGTAAAGATAATTACACACTGACCTGGCCTAGCATTAAAAGAAAACCCCTAGCATTAAAAGAATGTGGCCTAGTGGCAGAGTGCTTGCCTAGTATGCATGAAGCCCCTAGGTTCAATTCCTCAGTACCACATAAGCAGAAAAGCCAGAAGTGGCACTGTGGCTCAGGTGCTAGCTTTGAGCAAAAAGAAGCTCAGAGACAGTGCCCAGGCCTTGAGTTCAAGCCCCAGGACTGGCAAAAAAAACAAAACCCCAAGCCACGTGCAGGTGACTCATGCCTGTAATACTAGCTACTCAGAAGGCTAAGATCTGAGGGTAATGGTTCAAAACCAGCCTTGGGCAGCAAAGTCCATGAGACTCTTCAATTAATCACAGAAAAAGCCAGAAATGAAACTGTGGCTCAACTGGGAGAGCCTTGAGCAAACAGAAGCTCAGAGACAGCACCCAGGCCCCAAGACTGAAAGGAAAAAAAAAAGAAAGCCCCAATTGCATCCTCATTTTTGTTTAATAAGTAAATGACAAAGATCACCAAACCCAAGAGGCTCTTAAGACTCCAATCAAGGGAAAAGTACCTTTCCTACTTCATTGCTAGGACTATAGCTCAAAATGGCAATAGAAGCTGGGCACTGGTGGCTCACGCCTGTAATCCTAGCTACTCAGGAGGCTGAGGTCTGAGGATTGTGATTCAAAGCCAGCCCAGGCAGTAAAGTCCGTGAGACTCTTATCTCCGATAAACCACTAAAAAACCGAAAGTGGTGCTGTGGGTAAAGCGGTAGAGCGTTCGCCTTGAGCTGAAGAGTGCAAGGACAGCACCCAGCCCAGAGTTCAAGCCCCACAACAGACAAAAAAAAAAGGCAATAGATGAGTCAGTACCAATAAGTTCACATTTCAGGAAACAGAGCAAATACTTAACTACTACAGCTAAACAGGCAATGTGGTTCTCTGTATAGCACCATATCGTAACAGCTTAAAATACTGTATTAAAACTGAGATACTTGCCATTGGGATGAAACATTTTAGAGACAAATCTGACAGTCGGTGGTTTATTCGGGTATTCTTCAGTGAATTCGATTGTAAGCTTAAATGTTCCTGAAGTTAGAAAAGAACAGGTTGAGAAATGTATTTATCACTGTTCAGTAGTGGTTTGGCTTGAATGTTCCATAAGGTTTTTTTTTCCAAGTTTAAAATGCAATAGTGAAGAAAAAGTGTAGATAGGGTTAGAAATTCAGCTCTAGGAATGACTCTAAAGATGGACAAATATGTGTGTGTGTATATATATATGTATATATACATATACGTGTATATACATATGTGTGTGTATATATGTGTATGTATGTATATATATGTGTGTGTGTGTACACACACAGCCAGTCTACAGGTCTGAACTCAGCCTGGGCACTGTCTCTGAGCTTCTTTTCCTTAAGGCTAGCACTCTAGGAGCTGGGAAGGTGGCTCAGTGGTAGAGTGCTTGCCATGCATCCATGAAGCCCTGGGTTCGATTCCTCAGCACCACATAAGCAAAAAAAGCTGGAAGTGGTGCTGTGGCTCAAGTGGTAGAGCACTAGCCTTCAGCTGAAGAGCTGAGGAGCAGTGCCCAGACCCAGAGTTCAGGCACCATGACTGGCAAAAAAAAAAGGCTAGCACTCTATCACTTGAGCCACAGCACCACTTCCAGCTTTTTCTATTTATGTAGTACTCAGTAATCAAACCCAGGGCTTCATGCATGCTAGGCAAGCACTCTACCACTAAGCCATATTCCTAGCCCAAGAAGGACAAATATTCCTAAGTCAAAGTTGATTTGTGCTTTGGTTTGCCATTATTCACCTCCAAACTTAAAAACTAGTATCACAAACTCAAAATTGTTCCGTGTAGGATGACTTTAGCCATTGTGCACTTTGAAAATACCCTTACATAAAAATGACAAGGAACTGGGCCCCAAATTTGGCTTTTGCCCTTTATAGGAATAAAAGACTTCTAAAGCATTATTTCAGTCAGTTGTCATCTTAAACTGCAGTAGTTTTCAACAGAGTAAAAAAGAAAAAAACAAAGTTTCAAAACTAACATTAAAAATAAAAATCCAAGTGGGCCACCAATGGCTCACACCTGTAATCCTAGCTACTCAGGAGGCTAAGATCTGAGGATTGCGGTTCAAAGCCAGCCCGGGCAAGAAAATCTGTGAGACTCTTATCTCCAATAAACCACCAAAAAACCCGGAAGTAGGCTGTGGCTCAAGTGGTACAACACTAGCTTTGAGCTGAAGAGCTCAGGGACAGTGCCCAGGTCCACAGTTCAAGCCCCACAATGGGAAAGAAGAAGGGAGGGAGAGAGGGAGGGAGGGAGGGAGGAAGAGAAAGAAAAATCCATAATTAAGTTTTCCTCCTTCCTTTTAAATTTTGTGCTGGCCCTGTGGCTTGAACTCAGGGCCTAGGTACTGTCCCTGAGCCTTTTTGCTCAAGACTAGAGCTCTACCACTTAAACCACAACTCCACTTCCTGCATTTTTGGTAGTTAATTGGAGAGGAGTCTCATGGGCTTTCCTGACCAGGCTGGCTTTGAACTGTGATCCTTTTATCCTTAATGTCCTGAGTAGCTTAGGATTACAGGTGTGAGCCACCTGTGCATGGCTCAACTTATTTTTAAGATAGGAGTAAGTATAAAAATTGTTCACTGGTTCACTTTCATAAAATAGTGACTAATGAAAACACTATTAAATCAACTTAGTCACATTAAGGGAGGGAAATCATAGAAATGACTTAAAAATCACATTTGGTTATACTGTATTCATAGAGGCCACAAAATTATCTTTCTAATGAGATCTGTTTAGGATAGTGCTACTGAAATTATTCTCCTTCAACATGGATCAACCTAAGGGGGCAGGAGACCTGACAGCACAGCAGGTAATAGACAATCTGCATTTTACTCAAGAGTTATAGGATGTTGTTATCTGAGGGCAATCTTGCCTTTCAAAATGTTTTAAATTGTCAAATAAATCAAAAATACAATTGGGAGACTTTTTCCCCCTCACTGAGAAATTAAGTAAATGAGATGAAATCAGTTGCTATCTGATATAAGGCAATGCACATTCTATTTCCCTAGTGCATTTAATAAATTACTCATTGTAATACAACAGACCATCCTTCAGCTAGAGTATAATTTATTACTAATGCAGAGTTGGTGATTTAGTTCTGCCTTGCTCCCATGAAGAGGTTTATTACTGGGGAAGAAAAGAAGAATACCATCATTCTTCAATGTCTACATCTGTTATGTAACAATACCAAAGTATGTTTACTACAACCACTCACAGGAAGGAACTCACTGTAAGTGGCCCTTGGTATGAGTATGTGTTACAAAATTTGAGAATGACTTTAAAAGGTCATATCACAGTGGGGTTTAGGGGGAGTTTCTGTGCTATGATAAAGCACCTGCTTAGCTGTGGGAGGTCCTGGATTCTATTCTCAGCACCACAAAATATGCCAACACATAGAGGCATGTTGTATTTCCCAAGAATATGGAATGGTGGAACACAGTAGCATACACTTGTAATCCTATCTACTCAGGAGGCTGAGATCTGGGGATTGCAGTTCAAAGTCAGCCCAGGCAGGAATGTCTGTAAGAGTCTTATCTCCAAAAGAAAAAAAAAACTCAGAAAATGCTAGACGTGGCACTGTCGGTCAAGTGATCAAAGCGTTAGCCTTGAGCAAAAGAAGTTCAGGGACAGTGCTCCACCCAAGCCTTCAGTTCAAGCCTGGAGAACACCAAATATACTTCACCTTTATTACCATCCAAATCTTCCTGGTTTTTGAGGAAGAATGTGCAGTTCTTCCTTTCAGAGTTATTCACTTTATACTATGCAAGAAAGTAGGAATGGTAGACAGTTGAACACTTGAAGCTTCCTTATGTATCTCAAGTGTGTATATATAATGGGATCAATGCTGAAATCTTATTAAATTACAGGTAAGGGATTAAACGCCAAGTAATTGCTCTAAAACTGGGCAGGTTTAATAGCACATACAGAATTGAAGGCATGGCTCAGTGGAAGGGCACCTGCCTAGAAAGTGCAAGGGCCTGAGTTTGAACCCCAGTAGTGTCCCCCCAAAACAGACTACAGAGATCTTTTAACCCCATCATTATTAAATATGGTATCTAAAGGTGGTGAAGTACTATATAAGGAAGCATAAACAAGACTAGAGCAGAGTTGGCAAGAGCAAAATCTTTGCAGTCAGATCTGGGTTGAAATCCTTACTCTGGTTACTAGCTGGGAAACCTGAGGTGAAGGGAAAAAAGCACTCAATCTGACTAAAACCTCAAGTTCTTCATGTAAAACGAGGTTAAAATAGTTAAAAAAAAAAAACAAAAACAAAAAAAGAGCCCACTGCCAGGTGCCAGTGGCTCATGCCTATAATCTTAGGTCTTAGGGAGCTAAATTCTGAGGATTACAGTTCAAAGCCAGCCGGGGCAGGAAAAAAAATCTGAAAGATATCTCCCATTAAGCACAAAATGCCAGAAGTGGAGCTGTGGCTCAAGTGGTAGAGCGCTAGCCTTGAGTACAAAGATGTTCAGGGACAGCCCTGAGTTCAAGCCCCACGACAAACTCCCCACCTCCGCAAAGAAAAAGCATTTAAATAGCTTTTACTATCCTGAAAAGTAAAGCAGGTAAAGACCCAAATCTTATTCAATAAATACACTAAAAAGGTATTCTATACTTTCAGACACAGAAATCAGGACCTCAACAGAACACTCAATGCAATTTTGGAGAGCTAAACAAATATTAAGATCATTAAAATCATAGACTATACACAATCTCAGACTAGAGCTTACCCTCAGAATATTTAAGAGGCTAGGTTCTAGAATAGCTCCCAAGTTTAAGCCTCACAATTACTATACATCATCTCTATTGATTTTATTCATCTTCCTAAGGAGGCCCAAACATTGTAAAGAAAACGGATCCATCTGTATACATACTGGAGACCAAGAAAATTATGCGTCAAATGGCTCATAGATGGCAATAAGGACTGATATGGTTAAACTAAAGAATATATGTGCTGGGCGCTGCCTGTGGCTCATACCTGTAATCCTAGCTACTCAGGAAGCTGAAATCTGAGGATTACAGTTCAAAGATAGCCCAGAGCCGGGTGCTGGTGGCTCACGCCTGTAATCCTAGCTACTCAGGAGGCTGAGATCTGAGGATCGCGGTTCAAAGCCAGCCCGGGCAGGAGAGACCGTGAGACTCCTATCTCCAATAAACCACCAGAAAACCGTTAGTGGCGCTGTAGCTCAAGTGGTAGAGTGCTCGCCTTGAGCTGAAGAGCTGAGGGACCAGGCCCTGAGTTCAAAGCCCCAGGACCGGCAAAGAAAAAAAAAGAAAGGAAAAAAAAAGTACATGTTCTTGGAAGTGGTGCTGTGGCTCAAGCAGTAGAGCACTGGGACAGCACCCAAGCCTAGAGTTCAAGCCCCACAACCTACCAAAAAAAAAGTGCATGTTCTGCCAAAAGATAGAAAAATACAAATTTTTGAAAATACTTATTCAAAGAAAGTCCCTCAGCAGGTGTTTTTCTGCCATTTGACTACTTTGTGACTGCTGAAAAGAAAGCAAACTACTTGTACTCTAAAATAAATTTGATGACTGAAAATTCTAAGTCTTAAGATAATGCCTCAAACTTTCCATCATAGGATTTAATTATTTTGAGAACACCCTCAGTGAATGTTTTTTTTTTTGGTCCGGTTGTGGGGCCTGAACTCTGGGCCTGGGCGCTGTCCCTCAGCTCTTCAGCTCAAGACTAGCGCTCTACCACTTGAGCCACAGTGCCACTTCCGGCTTTTTTTCTTTTTGCTTATGTGGTGCTGAGGAATCAAACCCAGGGCCTCGAGCATGCAAGGCAAGCGCTCTACCACTGAGCCACCTTCCCAGCCCGAATCTTCACAACTTATTATTTTTTTTGATTTTTGGGTCCGGTCGTGGGGCCTGAACTCTGGGCCTGGGCGCTGTCCCTCAGCTCTTCAGCTCAAGGCTAGCGCTCTACCACTTGAGCCACAGTGCCACTTCCGGCTTTTTTTCTTTTTGCTTATGTGGTGCTGAGGAATCAAACCCAGGGCCTCGAGCATGCAAGGCAAGCGCTCTACCACTGAGCCACCTTCCCAGCCCCACCCTCAGTGAATTTTAAGGGACTCGTTTTAACAAGAAAAGATTTACATCCTCAAGAAGTCTACCTTTATGAAAAACAAGCAACAGTACATTCCCCTGATTATTAACAATTTTAGATATAAATTCCATAACCTTTGTAATAACCACATATTATTTTAACGAAGTATAAACTGTCCAGAAAATTCCTCTGATTTCAAGTGTGTAAAGTCAAATCAAATTACCTTTACAAATCCCTTTTCTTCAGGGAAAGAGAGAGCAATAGAAAGAGTTATTCTCATTAAAACATAACATAACCTGACTCATGTAATTGTAATCCCTTTGTGTATCACCTTTAAAATAACAATGAAGTATATTAAAATAAAAAGTAGGACATCTACAACATATTAATAAATAACATTACTATAAAAATCACTTATTTTTCAAACTAAGTTGTGAGAAGAATGGCCAAAAAAAGAACATACACATGTGAATTGTCATAGTGAAACCTCCGGTACAATTAATATATAGTTAAAAAGATCCTTTTCTTAATATTCTTCTCTTTAATTGGGGCCTAGCAATTACAGAAACAAAGGAAGCTTGGAGCCGGTGCCAGTGGCTCATGCCTATAATCCTAGCTACTCAGGAAGCTGAGATCTTAGAAACGCAGTTCAAAGCCAGCTCTGGCAGAAAATTCTGTGAGACTCTTATCTCCAATTAATCACAAAAAGCTGGAAGTGGAGCTGTGTGGCTCAAGTGGTAGAGCACTAACCTTGAGCAAAAAGCACAGGAACAATGCCCAGGCAGAGTTCAAGCCTCAGGACTGGAAAAAAAAAATCTCAAGGACAGCGCTCTGGCCCCAAATGCAAGCCCCAGGACCACCATACACACATACAAATTTTTTTTTAAAAAGGTGGGAGTCAGTGACTCAAGCCTGTAATCCTAGCTACTTAGGAGTTTGTGTGATTTGAAGCCAGCTTAGGCAGGGAAGTCCATGAGACTCTTATCTTCAATTAACCACCAAAAACCCAGAAGTGGAGCTGTGGCTCAAGTGACAGGGACAGTACCCAGGCTGTAAGTTCAAGCCCTAGAACCAGCACACACTCAAATGGTCAAATCTATTTTTGTAGCCCCAATAGGAGTCCTAGACACCTGAGGAAGCCCCCATGGCTAACAACAGACTATTTAATAACATGAACCAAATAAGAGTACTGTCATTTGGCCTAATGCCTTTCAGTAATGCCAAGATGGAGATATTCACCATAAAAAATAGAGCCAGTTATGTCAAAGGGGACATGTCCAGGCAGATAATGGATTCCATAAGCACCTTTTCAATTCATACCACTTAAATCAAGAGAAGCACCCTTGAAATTTTAAGTAGCCAACCTCCAGTAAAGTGATGTGCTATTAATAATGCTGTGCCTAACATAAAACAGTCCAAATAAAATAAGAAAAAAAAGAAGCCAGTGAAAACAAAAGCCTATTGGAACTAAAGCAAATACAAGTAATCTGCACATAAAGCTCAGGTACAAAGAATTCACCCCAATGGAATGGAGGAAAAGTTAAGCCTAGGTACTTCCTGCTACAGGTCCAATTTAAATGGTTAACAGCACCAAAGCAATCACTTTCCTGTCATTTCTTGCAGCAATGAAAAGCAGTGATAATCTAGCCAGGAGGTAAAGCAGAAAGGAAGCTAAAAGTACTGGGCTAACTGACCACAGTTTGCTAAGGAAATCTGAGTACCTGAGACGAATTATAGATCTTGACTTACCTCACAGCATTTTGGGGATTGGAACCACCAAAAAGCAATCCAACTCAGCAACATTAAGTATATAGTAAGTAGTCTGTAGAAATGTTTTTTCACCTTCAAACTGGTGTATGTGTGTGTGTGTGTATGTGTGTGTGCATGTGTGTGCATCCAAAATGCTATACCAAAGAAAGATAAATAATCGAGAAAAAATTCAGGTTTTCTTTTTAACTAGTTCAAATTTAAAGAATTTCACAAACTCACTTTTTAAACCTTCTTAATGTACCAAACTTTCAAGAGACAGTAGCTAAACACACACACAAAATTGAGTGGATGCAAAATTCAATTGTCTATGTCAATTTTCTTGTGACATTTCTATGAAACTGGGAAGGATATGTAAGGGAAAGAGTTAGGTGAAGGGGACACAGTATGTGTTCTATTTGCTGAAACTGAACATAAACCTGTGAAGTTTTGAGATAAATTCAAAACAAAGTTTTTAAAGAGCAACTGAGGGGTGGGACTGTGGCTTAGTGGTAGAGTGCTTGCCTCAAGCATGCCTGAAGCCCTGGGTTTGTTTCCTCAGTACCACATAAACAGAAAAGGCCAAAAGTGGCACTGTGTGGAGCAGGGTGCTAACCCTGAGAAAAAGAAGCTCAGGAACAGTGTCTAGGCCCTGAGTTCAAGCCCTAGGACTGGCCAAAAAAAAAAAAAAAGAGCAACTGAGATTATGTGCTTTAGAAAGTTAAGCCAGCCACACACCAGTGGTTCAAGCCAGTAATCCTAGCTCCTCAGGAGGTTGAGATCTGAGTGAGGACTGATTGTGGTTTGAAGCCAGCCCAGGCAGAAAGTTTTTGAGGTTCTTATATCCAATTAAACACACATATACACACACACAAAGCCAGAAGTGGAGCTATGGCTCAAGTGGCAGAATGCTAGCTTTGAGGTTTTAAAGTTCAGGGCTCACAGCCCCCATTTCAAGCTTCAGGGCTGGCGCCAAAAAAGAACAAAATGCAACAAAATTACAGCCAGTGTTTACAGCTAAGAACATCTGGGAGAAATGAGGTGTCATTGACAGGCAGGCAATGTCTGATTCTAGAAAGCAGTTAGTTGTGTGTATGGGACTTCCACAGGCACTCAGCACTGAACACTCCCACACACCCACACACCAAGGCACCTGCTGACCACTTCCTGCCCTTGGGATAGAATTCTGAAGCAGATGGTCCCTGGGATCCTTCTTTCAGCAACTGGTTAGTTTCACACTAAGTCAGAATCACAGTAGGGGGGACTGAATGTAGCAAAATCCCAGCCCCAAACCTCAAAACCCCTTAGAACCAGTTTTGAACAGTCCTGTTTTTCCAATAGTGTCTGCCTTTACCAGAGTATGTTAAAAAACTAAGTGAAAGGCAGAAAAAAACAAGATGAAGAAAAACAAAAGGTCCATTTCTAGTCAGTAGACAACATCTAGAGCAACCTGCCACACACTGGACTTCCACTCAAGCTTTTGGAAGGCAGAGGCTAAGGCACAGCAGGTTTCTAAGCAGGAAGGTGCTTGCAGGGTGATTCGGGATCCCCACCCCTTCCCCAATATGATCAAGAGTCCTGAAAGCAGGGTAAAGAAACTCTCTCTTACCATCTTCAAATGGAGTGCCCTCAGGCCTGCAACATAGAGAAAAATCAAGTCAGTTCTCGCTTGGGCTAGGGGGGGCTCCCCTCTCCTCACTTCACCTTTTAGGAGATGGCTGGCTACTCTCAGGGTGCCATCCCGTATCCCCCTGATCAAGTGTCGCTACGCAGGGCCAAGCTACTAAGTCCAGTTATGGAGGGGAGGGGGGGAGTCCTAGAAACACAGCACAGGCCACCACCCCACCCACCAGCACTACTCCCCTACCCCGCCCCCCTTGAACCCCCAAATGATTTCCCCTGGCAGCGGGAACTGAGCTAAATCGAGGCATAGGCTCCGGGGAAGCGCCTAGGCCCAGCCAAACCCAAACAATTTTTCCCCCGTGCACCCTAAGTCTGCGCTCAGGGCCTGCCCGGGGATACCATGCGAGACGCCTGGTGACCCCCATTTCTAGGTAAGAGCCCGGAACGCAGACTCACCCAAAAATGACCGCGTTCCAGACCATTATGTTGTTCTCAGAAGGAGCACCGCTCACTCCAGCTGGAGGATCTTCTTGCAACCTTCAGAGAGACAGACAACGATCGCCCCCCAAGTCGCCTCAGTTCTCGGCTGGTCTACCCCAACCCACACTCCGCCTCTCCCGGACCCGCCCTGCACCCCTGCACGCAGCCCCCCGCCTCCAGTGTCCCTGCCTGTCTTACCTTTTGAAGTCTCTCATAAGACGGCGCCGGGCCGGGGTAGACATATCTCTTGTCCGGTCAGATGTGGAACATACACCGAGAGATCGCGACTCGGAGGAAGCAGCCCCAGCCGGAGTCGGAGCAGGAGCTTGAGGTAGTGCGGCAGCGCCCAGCGGAACCGCACTGCCTCGCCGAAGCCTAGGGTCGGTCTGGCGCCGGCTAAGCACCACCCCCGAGTAGACGGGGGCTGAACCAAACTGAAAGGAAAGGGAGGGGTGTGTGAAACGCCTCTCTCCGGACAGGCCGTACCAACACCAAGACGGGGGGGGCATAAGTTGCTTATGTCATTAAATTCTAGCAAAGGAGGCTGGGAGTCGCGCTGGGGATGGTCCAGGGGTGACCAATAAGCCTGAGAAAAGGGAAAGCCTCTAATTCACAAGAAATTAGCGAGGGAAAAGGCTCCTTTTGCACTCGGCAATACTAACAGGAACCCTGGGAACTTTCCCGCTCCCCCTCCTTTTCCTTTTTTTTTTTTTTGGGTGTGTGTGTGTGTGTGTCTGTGTGTTTGTGTGTGTCTCTGTATATGTTTGTGTGTGTGAGAGAGAGACAAGAAAGACAGAGCTAGTAGGAGAGACAGAGATAGAAATTGCGAGACAGACTTGTTTTTGGAGGGAGGAATTTGTTCAGGCAGGCTGGCCTCAAACTCACCATCTTCCTGCTGGGATGACAGGTGTGCACCACCATACCCAGCTATTCTTCTTTCTTTTTCCTTTGAAGACCAGATTATTTTTTATTAAAATGGGGTGACGGACAGAAGGGAAAAAGAGAAGGTTGGAAGTAAAAGTGAATAGAAGAAGGAGTGGGTCTAACCAAACCTGTTTTCCAACAGCAGGAACTCTGTTGGAATGGGAGTGTGTGTGTGAGAGAGAAAGTGGCTAAAATTATGTAAAAGCCAAAAAGGAAATAAGCCTTGACTATGAAAGAGGCTCTGGGTCCCTTTCCCATGGAATGAATGTGAGGATTTCCATTGCAACATTTAGGCCAGTAATCACCCCAAAAATGGAATAAAATGGTCTTGGGTGTCCTGGGGGAGACAATAACAGCTTCATGCAAACAGAATAGTTTAAAAAAAATCTCTAGGCACTCACAATTTGACTCTGGAACCACATTTCCCTTTGGCAGTTCAACAAGCCAAGTGGCTCCAAAGAGTTCAAGGTATGAGAGTATCCAACTGCACACAATTGGAAGGACAGTAGATCAAGTAAAAGTAAGATGCACGTGGAAAAGTTGAAATTGCAGGAAAAGTCACGATTAGTACGTGGACCTGCAAAAGCAATAACAGTTTGAAAGAAATAATCTTCAAGACCAAGCAAAAATAACCTACCAGGTAGGCAAAATATGCATTTAAAAATTGCAGAAATTATGAGAAATGTAGGTTTGACTGAAGTCCTGGAGAGTCTTCAATGCCAAGCTAATGGATTCCTTCGAAGGCATTTCAACAGAGAAGTAACATCATGAGAACAACATTAATCAGAGATTGCTCCTAGGAGAAAGGCTAGGAGATTCTGACTACATTCTGTGTGACAGATACTACACTGGGCAATGCCAGAAAAGTAGGGGAAGGGGCGAATGAGGAAGACTTGGCAATCCATTGAACATGGGGAAAAGAGAATGAAAGGAGTTAGCAATGAGTGAAGCTCTAAGCCCTAAGGTAAATGGGGATTTGAAATTAAGGGATAGAAGCGGGGCACTAGTGGCTCACACTAGCTACTCAGGAGGCTGAGATCTGAGGATCGAGGTCCATAAGCCAGTCAGGACAAGATAGTCTTTGAGATTAATTAACCACCAGAAAACTGGTAGTGGAGCTGTGGCTCAAAGTGATAGAGCGCTAACCTTGAGCAAAAGAGCTCAGGGACAGCACCCAGATCTGGAGTTAAAGCCCCACAACTGACCAAAAAAAAAAAAAGAAATTAGGGGACAGAGTGTGATGGGAAACTTTGAGAAACATTGTATGTGTGTCTCTGTGTGTATGTGTGTGTGTGTGTGCCAGTACTGGTGCTGGAACTTAGGGCTTGGGTGCTAGCACTCTACCACTTGAAAAGTCTCATAGACTTTTCCTGCCCAGGCTGGCTTTGAACTTCAATCCTCAAATCTCAGCCTCCTGATAGCTCTGATTACAGACAAGAAACAATTTTAAGTGGGGCCAGGTTGTGGCTCATGCCTGTAATCATAGCTACTTAGGAGGCTGAGGCCTGAGGATGATGGTTTGAAACCACCCTAGGTAGAAAGGTCTGTGAGATTTTTATCTCCACTTAAGTACCCCCCCCAAAAAAAATAAGCCAGAAGTGGAGGTGTGACTCAAGTGGTAGAGTACTAGCCTTGAGCAAAAAAGTTTAGATAGCACCCAAGTCCTGTGTTCAAGCCTCCAGGATCAGAACCAAAAAAAATTTTGTGATACTTCCTGAGTTGATGGTACAGATAAGACATCTACTTGAATGAAGATGTTTAGCAGTCTTCAGATATGCATGAATTTATGTACACTGGAGGCAGGAATTTGTTTACACCTGTTGTTGCCTAGCAACCAGTAGTTTTACGGCCAATGATTTATATCTTGCATTAACTCCCACATATCAGTTCAATCTCCCTAATAACATTAAATCATGTCTATGGTGAGATGGGGGATACAAAAAGATATTTTAAAAAGCTTTTTCTTCGCATCTAGAAACTTGTCATCTACTAAGTAGACAGGTGAAATTAGCAAAAACAGGACCTGTAAAAGCAAATGCCATGGTTTTCTTATCACTTAAATTAGCACAAGTTGTAGAGAAAGTCCTGTTCTGTGCAGTTCTAGGACTGAGGTCTCTGTTTCAGTGCTAGCTGCCAAATTGGGAACCACTTCCACCTCTAAGAGTTCACCTACATCTTTTGCCTGGTGACCATCTTCAAAGTTGGCAACCGAGAATTTCTTTCACATTGAATTCCCATAATTTGAATCTCAAGGAAAATTCAGTCTGCTTGAAAGTTTTATCTGATTAGGCCAGACCCAGTGTGGCTAACTTCCCTCTCTTAAAATCATCTCATTTGGAAACTTATTTAAATCTGCTAAATGGACTGAGTGGATATATAAATCATAGATGTGAGGACTAGGAAAGTGGCATAGTGGTAGAGTGCTTGCCTACCATGCATGAATGCCTGAATTCAATTTCTCAGTATCACACACACAGAAAAACCTGGAAGTGGCGCTATGGCTCAAGTGGTAGAGTGCTAGCCTTGCACAAAAGCAGCTCAGGGACAGTGCCCAGGTCCTGAGTCAGGCCCCAGGACCGGCAAAAACCGGCAAAAAAAAAAAGGAGGTCTTCAGTATTGTTAGTGTCACAAAATACATTAACTATTGAATTTCTTCACAGTAGAGCCTAGTGTTTTGTTTAATAACTTCGAGAATATTATGTACAAGATACCAGGCCTTCGGGATCTTGAAATGAGTCTATTTCAATGTTGTCATAAAACAGATGAAAACGAAGCTTGAGAGAGAATAATTCAGAAGTTTAGAATAACAGCATGAATAGGGGCAAAGAGTTAAATTATATTCTGGAGAAGTGGGGTTTCTGAGCTTAGCGAATAGAGAGCTTCACCAGGGACTACTGAGCCATCAGCTTGGAAAAGTGAAGGTGGTGAAGTTGATTAGGTGCTCTCAAATCCAGGGATGGTTAATTTAGGCAGCTTAGTGAGTTAGTGCATGTGGGAAAGATCAAATCTCCCCCCATTGAAAAGCAGCATATATGGTCCCAGAGTGTACAAAAGGGCCTTAAAGTTTCCTGGATTGGACATAACACTTAAATTGTACCCTATAGATATATTCGAGTTTGTTGTGCGCTTATCTATTTCCTTTGTTTGAATGTTGCCTATTTGGAGACAGAGCTCCATCAGTAGCCATAGCTGGCCTCCAACTCACAAACCTCCTTCTTCAACCTCCTTGAAGGCATCTACCGTCACACCCGCCATGCCATCCAGTTTTTGAAATCACCTTTCTTCCCCTTCTTTGGACCAAATGATCAAGGAAGCCAGAGATCACGAACCAAAGTGGTTGGGAAGGGCTGTGGTATCTGTTGACTAAAGGTATCTCTAGCAACAGAATGTGGTTGCATCATCAGAATACTGAGCTGTCACAGTCCTCATCCAAAGCAGGATTGTCATAGCAAGTAGTAACACAGAAATTGTTTCCCAAACCAGTACAAGGCTAGAACATCCTAAAATACAATACAGTTTGCCAAGCGTTGTTCCTACCCTCATCGCACCTCAACATTTTGCGGAAATACCCTCTTTACCGTCCCCCCCTCCCCTTCCCCCCCCCCCCCCCAACTTAGAAATCTTACCTGAGGGCTGGGAGTGTGGCTTAATGGTAGAGTGCTTGCCTCAAGCATGCATGAAGCCCTGGGTTCGATTCCTCTGTACCACATAAACAGAAAAAGCCAGAAGTGGCACTGTGACTTAAGTGGTAGAATGCTAGCCTTGAGCAAAAAGAAGCTCAGGGACAGTGCCTAGGCCCTGAGTTCAAGCCCCAGGACTGGCCAAAAAAAAAGAAAAAAAGAAGCCTTACCTGATGTTGTTGGCTTGTGCCGGTAATCCTAGCTACTCGGGAGACTCAGATCTGAGAGTCAAGGTTCAAAGCCAGTCAGAGCAGACAAATCTGTGAGACTGTTATCTCCAATTAAATAACAAAAAAGCCAGAAGTTAGAAGTATGGCACAAGTGGTAGACAGTCTGCCTTGAGCAAACAAAGCTAAGAGAAAGGCCGTGAATTCAAATCAATGCTCCTGAAAGGGAAAAATCCTTCATGGAGAATTCATAATGCAGAATTCAGACATATTTCAGAACTGGATCAGAGGAAAATAACAAATCAACTATGATTTCCAGGGTCATAAGACTGCTTGTATTTCTGTTAACCAATGAAAGCAGAAGGCGTGTTTTCTTACAATTCCTACTTTTGTTGATAAAATTTAATACAAACTGCAACCAAAAGACAACAGAAAATACAATCAAGGTCTTTCTTGACTCCCAAATCTCAGATGGAGCCCAGAATCTCACGGGACTTAACAGAGGCCACAATGTTTGCTCCTGTGGACAAAGTAGTGATTTGCTATCTATTTACAGCTCTTAGGACATAGGGGATGGGGAATATAAAAGTTTGGAGTTAAGGCCTTTAATGTAGGAATCTGTTGAAT